GTCCTTGGGGAGCCACAGATTTAGTCCATGTTTTTGCTCCCTCCCAGCTCCCAGTAGGGAGCAAAAATGTGGACCGTCTGGCAGGGAGCTCGGAGGGAGCAAAAACATGGAGCGACTATGGGTCCCCTAGGATCAGCTTGGGAAACACTGGCTTAGGGAATTATATAATTTGTTGTGTTTATGTGGAGCCCTGCAAGGACTTCAGCTGCTAAATAAAACAAGTACGATCTACGGCATCGGAATGATGTTTGACAGGAGCCTATAAGGGATCTCCTCATCAGTATTCAGGCTCAGAAATGCCCCACAGACAGTAATGAAACCGTTGCTTCTAGAGATGAGCCGTCGCCGGTCTACTCCGACCCGCAGACAGCTTCATTCGCATGCAGTGGAACGCTGTGAGCGGCTCCGTATCATCGCCCTGTGTAGCCGCACTCCACGGTGTGGCTTTCCTGTACAGGCTTGTCAAGACAGTAATTTTCTCATTGGGTTGCGCTCACTTGACAGAATGCCAGTGAGCCGCGGGCAGAGTCAGTTAGCGGAGTGTGTTTGTTTTAGCTGGTATTGTCTACCTGAGCCTTGCATTTGACGCCCCCCCCCCGTTGTGACGGGCCGCCCAAGTGACTTCGATATAAAAAAATGAGGTTCATCAGTCAAAAGTTGGGCTTCAGTTGTATTAAGTGGGTTTAATTTGAAGGAAAAAAATGTAGGTTACTTGCTGCAATGAAAACCAGAAAGCTTTGAATGTTGGCATTTCCCTGATGATCTGATGGTAGTGTGGTGTGTGTGCGTGTGCGCGTGCGCATGCGCGTGTGCGTGAGTGTGTATGAGTGATCCAGGTATACCAGGTAGGCCTATGTCCCCACAATGTGATGAATACCCTTTTTTTTTTTTTTACTGGTCCCCATAAGGGAAAGCTCAATTTAATAAAAATCTGTGACTGCAATGAAAAAACTAAAAAGTTATGGTTATGGCTGGATAGGGGTTAAGGTTGTCATAGTTAGCATTAGCATTTTTCCCATAGAAATGAATGAGCGGTCCGCAAAAAGATATGATTACACAACTTTGTGTGTGTCTGTGTTTGCATAGATCACGTTTGGGGACCAAAATGTCCCTAAGTGTGGTAAAACCTGAAACTTCCTTACTTTTGGGGACATTTTTCAGGTTCCCATTTGGCTAACCTCAATTTTATAAGAATCTGTGAATTCAATCAAAAAAGTTAAAATGCCAAAAGTTTTGTATTTTGGTTGGTTACTGACAATCTACAGAGTATCTCAATAAAAGCCCAGGTCCTCTAAATACTCCGCTGCCTTCGGCATCTTCTCACCGCAGAAATCTTTCAACAGCCCCTCGGCATCGCTGCGGGGGGGTACCAATCTTACGCTCGCAAGGTTAGTGGAGGACCACCTGAAGTTGATGGAGTGGTTTTGGTGTGGATCTGGTACGCGAATCAGAACACTTCCAGCTCAAAAAGTGGGTCAGGTGTACAGTACACAAAGGTTTTGTGTTCCAGTCAGTCGATGTGAGCATCCCCAGTACAGCCACTGTAAATAATGTAAGAGCGGCATCTCTCCGTTCATAACCAGTTACCTCCTAACTCCTAACCCAGTGCCCTCTCTACCAATTCCAGTGCGCCTTCCTTTCCCACCACGCCGTCCTCTGTGCGTTCTCCGGGACCTTCCCTTCTGTCACGTCTTGACACACTCCTGATTGTTCACGCTCTAAGCTGTATGCAACATAAACATGCACACCAGTGAACCCATGCCCTCAATAACGGTTCTGTAATCACATTGTAAAATGCTTGTTAGTTGGTTATTGACTCATTGCCTGACTGCATTTCTGTCTGTGTATGGCGTCAGTCATTTCTACGCCCTAGGCGTGATTTCAGTCGAGTGCTCTCTGCTCAGATTACACCACCTCGTACGACTGTTTTGTATTTACAACCATGTGGGTATTACAGTCGTCGGTAATTGCGACTATGCTGCACGTAGTTGTGATTTGCATGTCGTATTGCTTGTCTTGTTGTGCAACTAAGGTTACATAAGTTGCCCTGGATAAGCTGGGCTGCCATGCTCATGAATATTCATTGGGGGGGGGGCTTGCATGAAAGCCTGCCTGATGCTGAAGATCTGATATGAGAAGCTCAGGTATGTCCTCCTGAGTGGCTTCTGGGACCGGTCCGCCTACACTGAGTGTGTACTGTATGTGTGTGTGTGAGCGTGTGAGCGTGTCCCCATAACGTGATAAATATCCATTTTTTTTTCCCTTATGGGGACCGGTTTCCTGGTCTCCACAGGGCCGTATTTAGATTTTAATTGATTGCGCTGAGAACAGTAGACTCACACCGAAGAAGGCCTCCTGTCTCTGGCAGTGTCTCTTCGCTCCCAAAACAAACATGGAGCGCCGGCACACTGAGGGCATCTCGCAGAGAGCTGGGCCGCCTGCGACTTAACCAGCGACCCAGGCCTGGAATCACATCCCGCTGTGACACTGGCCCGTTTCCATGTAAACCAGGCTCTCAAAGCAGACGACCACGTACGACTTAATCCACCACTGAAATGCATTATTCCTTTAAGAATTACAGTAAGCAGGCTAAGATTAGCCTTGATCTGCCTTTTTTTTTTCTATCCCCAAACGTTGATTAAATTAGAAAGCATTTTGTGTCCAAATTCAGTCATTGTTCATATCTGAGAGCATCGGGGATTCTGGCAGAATTCCCTCCGTGTTGCGTCAGTGCAGCCAATGGCGGGCTGGTCCTTTTGGGCCTGACCCAGGGGAAGCACTCAGCTCATTGGTGTTTCCACCAGCTTCCTTCTCCAAGTAGGTCATGCCAGCTATTTTGATTGCCAAACAAAAGACGTTCCCCAGCCTCGCCCCCCCCACCCTACCCCCCAGAGCGGTTTCCTTTAATGGTCCTCCACATCGCCACCTGCCAGCAATAGAGGCTGACGCAGATTAAGGCCGGGCACCCCCCCCCCCCCCCCCCCCCCCCCCCCCCCCCCCCCCGGCAGGGTGTAAAGGCACCGCCCACATTGCTCAGCAGAAGCAGAGATGTGATCTGAATCTTCTGCGTTTTCCTCGGCGAGTGCCTCGCAGTGAATAACGCACAGTGCTTCTCAGATGAACTCCTCTGTGTTCGTTCGATCGACTCCTTTGAGAGCGGTTTCTCTGGTCCACTGGAGCATGATGGCGCCAGGCATTTTACTGGGAAATTAGGTACTTTAAGAACTCTCTTTTTTGGATAAGAAGAAGATAAGAGAATGGAAGTCGCTTCCCACCTCAGTCTCCCTTGCCTGATGTCGGGGGAGTCGGCGATAGAGATTCGCTGTCGTGGGCGGTGCAGAGAGCAACCTGTCAGGACAGTATCAGGAACGTGAGCTCACCACAGCTGGGTCACAAGAAGACTAGAATGGTGAGCACAGCGATTTTCAAAATGGCTGAATGTTCACGTCAAGTGTTTCCACCTGCAAAAACATGTGATGTTACTATTCAATCTAAGTAATGACTTTATTTAGTCATCTTGGTGCTGAAATGAGAACATGCAGACCCAGTGGCCCTAGACTGTTCTGGTGCTGAAACAGAACCTTTGTGGCATGATAACTATGTAATTTCACAGTTATTTAAATTATCACCTCTTAGTGAATCATGTTAAGTCTTCTTTACAGAACTATCCATCTACAATATAGGTCTTGGAATGGATTGGAGTCCCTCCCAGGAAGCTTAGGGCACAAGGCAAGGAGCACCTTGGACGAAGTGCAAGTGTGTCTCAGGGCACATGCATGCAGTATGGGCAATTTAGAGATGCCAGCTTGCCTAACTGCATGCTGTTGGATTCTGGGAAGAGACCCCAAAAAACAGGGAGAACTAGCAGAAAGGGGGGTGGGGGGCAGGATATAAACCCCCAACCTTGGAGGTGTGAGCCTCAGTGCCACCAAATCATGAAAAATTCAGAACAGCCAAAAAGCGTTAATGCCAACGCACCGACTTCCGCTGAACTTGCTGAAAAGGTAAAGCACTTGGATGAGAGTTCGAAAGCAGCCTTTTTTCAAAGCTGATCCAACGGTTTACCTTTGAGCAGTTAATCTTTGTTACTTTTGCTATCACCGTTGCCCATTGCAGGCTGTCGCCCTTGGCAACTGCATCAATACCATAGTATAATGGGATTTTACTCCAAGGTGGAGGACAGCATCTGGAATACAGGTAAATCCACCCCTTTGTTTGACTCTGAGATGCACAAAGAGCATGACCTCCATAAATCATACCACCTTCGAACATCCCTGTCCCTGAAAAATGCCCTTTCTCTATTATTGATCAGGACATGCAGGCTGCAGCTTGATGCATGGTTGCAGGAAGGGTGTCCAGAGGTTTGAGCCATGAGCTGCACAGGTCTGCCAATGGTAGCCTGGACTCGCCCTGCAGTAATTCACAAAATGACATTAATAAAGGACAGAATCTGCTTGCCCGGAGAGCTTGCGCTTTCGCCCGTTTATGAGACGGGAGGCGGCTCTGTAGCCGTATACACGGCGGAGCAGCATGAATGCCAGACAGCAGCGTGAACCTCCACCTGTCCCACGGGGCCACACCGCGCTTCCTCCATGTTCCCCGCCTTGGCTAATTTGTAAACATGAGGCGGCCCGGGAGGCGGTGTAATAAAACTGTCTGGGCCCTGTCCTGCTCTCGGACAATGAAATATAACCAGCCAATACTTGGTTCACCCTTGAAGGCGAGAGAGAGGACGTGTGTGTGCGCGTGCGTGCGTGCGTGCGTGTGGTAAGGCCCATATCCACTCCCAAGGCCCTGGAAGGGGAGGAGGCCGGGACAAGGTGGCACATTTTATGTCACTACCTCCCCCATGCTGTTCCCACGGCCTGGTGCATGATCTGACACTCAAGCTCGCATAACAAGCCAAATTCCTGCCGTTTTGCCCAAGGCTCCAACCCCATTTCCAGAGTACTTAGCTTTTCCTTTATTTCTTTCTTTTTTTTTTTTTTTTTTTTTTTTAGCACAGATGATCAGGAGCAAAACATCTCTCCTGTGCATGTGCGGGAGGATCTGATCTCCGTGGATGGCTGAAATCAACAGGGACTGGAGGCGTGGCCGAACAGCCCTGGCGTCTACTTGAGCACGACAGGCACATGCTGCAAACGTTACGCTTACCGTTCATGTGGGTAACGTGCCTCTTATCACAAGGAGGGCTGCCGCCCAAGGCGTAAGCAGAGGAAGCGGCTGCTTAGGGCCCAGCGGCCACTAGGGGGCCCCCCCATATAATCAGCCTGTCAGAATGGGAACGAAGATGATAAATGACAACTAGGTTAATCAAATTTTGCTTTGGGCCTCAGATAAGCTTAGGTCAGCTTTGAGCACAACTATCTCAAGTGGAGTTAACGCAGGTCTGAAGGAAAATCACAGACGGTGAAATGGGGAGCTGATTTACCTCAGGTATCCTGTTCGCGTGGTATATGGCATGTTTCGCTTCATCAAGCAGTTGCAAATTTTATTTTGTCACCTGCACAAATATACAGTGTACATCTGTGCTGTGAAATCCCTTTTCCGCATTTTTCAGTTTTGTCTCCCTGGTCCATGTAAATCATTACAGATTACCTGGTCAGCTAAGTGAAAAAAAAGTAAATGTTTACAGGCGTGAAGCTTTTTATCTAATTATGATAATCAAGTCCTTCTCCCCGCAGTTAATTTAAATGTGAAATTGATGCAGTTTCCCCGCTGCAGGAGCTCTGGTCCTCGCTGGCACGCTCTCAAGCCAAAAGCTTGTCAGTTTGAAAATGCCAGTTCATAGAGGAGCACGACTGACTTGCAGCAACGTGCCTCCATCTGTCCGGCGGCTCTGTGTGAATTTGTGAATGATTTTTGCCGTGGTGTGCGAGCCTGTCTTTGCACCCTTGATAAGCATTTGCTGTGATGTAATCCAATATTTCAGTCCAGTATTATTTCAGGCACCGGATCACTATTTGGCATATAATTTGCCTGGCGAGCAAACATTTTGAGTGAATGAGGGGCACGTGTACTGGGAGCAAGTGGGCCACCAGAGTCCCGATCCCAGTAACACACGTCTCCGGCTTCAGGGAAGCGCTTCCCATTTTCCTGGCTTCCACAGCATCTGTGAACAAATTATTTCTACAAGCTGGGCGTGCCAGACATCTGTGGAGCAGCTGCCCCTAGTGGACAGGAGGGGCATAACTGAACGCAGAAGCGGAGAGTTCTAAACAGATAGATATGGCTACACAGACAGTATGAATGCAGTGATATGCCTTTAGTTACACATGCACACACGAATACGACAAGACACCCTGAAGGGTGACACAGCTAGATGTAGGCAGACATGTATATACAGAGAGGAAATTCTACAACAGAACCCTACACTCCCCCACCAAGCTTAACACTCTCACCAGTCTGGTTCTACAACAGGGGTCACTGTTCAGCCAAAGCGAATCCGTCAAGGCCCCAAAGCGAAAGACACAGTTATGCATTTTCCGAATCTTGGCTAAGAAAATATTTATCGAGCGAGTTGCCGCCCTGTAGCGCAGGCAGCGAGAGAGGAAATCCAGGTATCTGATGGGAGCTAGAAGCCCGGCGATGGCGCGGAATGACCCGGTCTCGCCAGGCGTCGAAACGAGAAACGGAGACAGAGACGCGGCTGACCTAACACGGAGGATTTCTGGAATCGGGCACGAATGGGAGAGCGAGGATGATAACCTGACTGACCTCAAGTGAGGAATCCATTCTTCCCGTGAGGAGGAACCTTATTAGAATAAGAGACACACAATGTTCCAAAAATTACACATACTATGCATACTAGTATATCGACAATTATGGAAAATAATGGGGGCATATGCTTTATTGGGGCAATAAAGGTACAGTCAATTACACAATTCATGAAAGCAGAAAATACTCTATTCATCTGCTTTATTTAATTAGACACTGGAAGCTTTTTGTAATGACAAAAGCAAAGCAGTCTTTGTCTTTGATGGTGGGTTCAAAGTACACGGATGATATGTAGCCACCAAGTTCTCTTCAGGGAAGGAAGTAGGACCACTTTGTTCGACCCAGGTTCAATTGGAGATCTTGGTAGTCAATGCATCGTTACTCAATAAAGCACATCCAGAGAGCTGTGCTGCATTGTGGGTAAATGCCGCTCACCAGCTGGACTGGCTCATGACCCAAGGCGATTGCCATGTGACTTTTCAGTAGCATTGTAGAATAAGCCTTGTTCCAAATACACAGAGCTTCATAATGATTACTAACTTTGACGGACTGATCAGGTCAACTATGTAATATGGCTACTTTATTCAGTGTTTATTATAATCACATGCAGGTCTCTGAGAGGTTTATTTTGCTGTCTATATAATAGACTCAGACATGTTAATCAAGTGTTAAGGGATCCGTTCTTGTGGGATTGTCTGTCAGAATCTTTGGATAGTGGAGTTAGTCTGGAACGTCGTGAACGACTTGATGGATTATGGGAAAACACAAGAATCCCTGTGTGCCTTTTACAACTGGCAAATGAAGTGTAAGTTAGAAGGCGGGGGGGAGGGGGGATAAGCCTTAATTATGCAACATCTGCCATTCCTGATAGCACACCGGAATTTTGTCTAAGTCCAGCCAGATTATGACAGAACTCCAGTTGTGCGGCGGACGGACATGTTGCAAGACATGGGGGTCGTTTGAGGCAAAAGTGGTGAAACTGTGTCATTTGCGAAGAAAATAAGGCCGTGAGATTGTGGCTGAGGAACCCTGGGGAACGGAGAAAGTGCGATCAGAGGCATCCTGCTTCAGATGCTGATGATGGAGGCAGCGTTTAATCGTGGGGGGTGGGTTTGGAGCCGAGGCGCCTGCTGTCCTTTGATTGGGCATTAAAAGTAAGATGGNGGGGGGCTCCTTTTTCTGTGTACAGGAAGAAACTCGTGTTCCACTTTGTGTCCTGTGGTGACAGGTGTCTCCAGAGCTCTCTTTCAATGGAGGTATGATTCAGTTCAATCACTCACTGTAAAAAGCCCTAAATATATCCTCTGGTGTATGGTGAGGCGGGCTGGGGGCCAGGCAGGAGGCAAACGGTGGGGGGGGGTACTGCAAGTTGATCACTTTGTGGCATTTTTCTGTGTTGAGTGCTCTATAGGGAGATGCTTGTGGGGGCAGAGTGAGTCTTGGTGGGTTATGACACCATACCCGTGATCAGAAGGGCACTGATTCAAATCCCAGTGCCGGCAGAGTGATGTCACCATTGGGAACTTAACCCCCAGTTGCACTACGGCCAGGGATTGTCTGACCCTGCTATCTCAAAAAAAAAAAAGAAAAAGAAAAAAGTATGTCACTTGGGGGGAAGTGAAGTGCCTGCTAAACAGGGTGAATGTAGGTGCCCAGTAATGAGAACACAGAAAGAGACATGTGTTCCCTCCAGAAAGAGCTGGAATAACACCCTGTGCTTAGGCGTTAATCTGGAGTCTGTCTGTTCACTCCACATTCTGCCAAATCAGAGTCACCCTCCATACACACTAAATCCAGAGTCACTTTCATCTGCTGGAGCTCTTCAGCTAGCATTTAGATGGCTAGCTCACTGCCCTCCCTCCCTATTGGGCGACTCGGCGAGCGAAGCAGCGCTTCAAAAGGTCCACTGCCAGTGCTCTTAGCTCTCTCACCCGGCACCCCGAGGTCCTGCTTCCTTCCGGGATGCCTGACTGTCACATTCCCGCTGGAGAGGACTGTGGCCCTCTTACTCCACGGCTTCCTGCTTCCGCGTCCGATGTTTTTTTGGCCGGCCCCAGCTCGCAATGTTCTCCTTGGCACAGGGAGATCCTCGGTGCAGAGCCAGGGAGTATGGAAACCTCAGGCAGCTAGGCAGAGCAGATGGCGTCAAATAAACACTCTGTATGAATCTCATGTGGATGGCCAGCCTACTGTTTCCCTTCCCCTTTAAATCTTACATCTCCTTTAACAGTCTGCACTGGGGACACCCTCTAAATTCACTATGCTTCCCATTCGATCAATTTGTTGAAAACTTCAGTCGCTGGGCATTCAGGGTAGAATGAGCGAAACGGCATTGAAAGACACAAAGCGATCTGGTCAGCTCCAGTTGGCACATCTTGGTATCCTCTGGGAAACCTCACCATCGCTGGGCGGCTGCACCAGGCCGCAGGGAATCGCTGTAGAGCACTCCCCTCAAGATGGCCGTACCAGGAATTAGTGCAACATGCCAGGATCTCCGAGGCAACGCCACTAAAGTGGGCGGTGCATCCCCATCTGGAGAAGTGCATAGTGTTGAATTAACATGCAATTTTGATCAGGCCCATATAGGCGCCAATCCATTTCCCAAAATGCACCTGGTGCCCCCTTAAACCAAATCACAGAGTTAATGCACAGAGTCATTACAGGGAGGCTTTTTCTAATGGCAGGCAGTACGCTGGGAAAACGGAACAATATGCCGCACCAAATGTTTTCAGTTGCAAGATGCGCCGTTTTTACAAATGCGGCTAACCTGTGAGCACGTGGCAGGGGCAGCCAAAGCCCTTGCATTTGAGTCTGCTTGTTAGTGGGTGCAAAAAATGCATGGCGAGCACGAAGGGGGTGGGGGGGGGAGGAGTGTGACGCAGGCGAAATCAATGTCAGATCGCTGTGGGACACAATGGCTTGTGAGACATTCCCAGTATACCTCACGTGCGCGGGTATACTGGAATTGGCAGCGGCCTGCTACCAGTCACACCTACACATAGTGTTGATCCAGGGGCCCCCGCAAACCCCCCCCCCCCCCCAGCCTCTGACGGCAGCCCCACATTCATTTTCCGCCACCCTCATGGCATTCCTCTCCTGCGAAAACACTCCCCGTCCACTTTTGCCCATCGTCAGGGTTCCTCCCGCTGCTGGAATGCGGGAGCGGCGGGAGCTGCTCGCTGGGAGGAGGCTGGTCTGCGGCGGCCACTATCATCGCCTCCAAGAGCTGCCATCTGACTGGATTCGCTCAGAGACCCAAACCCAGGAAGTGCCACACTGCATGTCACAGGAAACACTTACCAGCTGCCTTTCCGTGGGCCGTTCACTTGATGATACAACCAAAAAAGAAAACTTTATTAACATTATAAACATTTTTAGGCTACTATATTTTACTGGTTCCCTTTTAATTTCCTTGAAATGTTGCAGTGATACTTTTAGAAATTAAACAGAAACCTACAAACCCCATCCATGGTGTCCCATGCACTGTGCTCCACACTCCCCCATGTTCCGGTCCAGGATAAATGGTTAGGATGTGGATAGATCCCTAAATCCCTGATGGTCCAGACCCTGGAGAAAGTGGATGCATTCAGCAGAAGTGGTTTGTCTGTAAAGTGCAGGCAGTGCTGATATGATGGATTTACTCAGGTGACAGAAGAGGGAGAGTCAGGTCGCCCAGAGACCAGCTGCTTCAAGGGAAACCTGTTTCCTTCTGCTCTCTCTCCAGCGTGACAACACTGCGGAAGGTGGTAATCCCTAATTTTGGAGATTACACACTGCCCCGACATGTTTACCCTCAATCGGACATACCCTATCGATACAATATATCAGATGCTGGGAGGGACGTTTGGCACCCCCTAACCAGGGGGTTTTATTGCGACACATTTGACTGTGATGCACAGCGGTATACCTGAGAATTAATTCTGAAGTGAATTATAAGTAAATATTAATGCAGCTAAGTATGTTATATATTTATGATAATTGTTCGTCCATGCACCCTTTTACATGGCAACGCAATCCATCTACTTATTAGATTTGTGGTAATTGGGCATCAGGGAAACCTCACAGAATGAGGAATAGTCCAGTAGAAAATGTGAGTAGAATAAATATTTGTGGTGTTGCAAAAGAAGATTAATGCTTGCTTCCGAGAATGGCAACATATGGTGTTTAAGCTGGTTTTACTGTGTAATCAAAGGACCTTCCGTTGTATGACAATGTGGTTCCCTATTTTGTGATTCATTAAGACACAATCCCATAAACAACTTTCCACCTGTACAGCCGTGGCTAAAAGTTTTGAGAATGACACAAATGTGAACTTTCACAAAGTCTGATGCCTCAGTTTTGATGATGGCAATTTGCATATACAACCAGAATGTTATGAAGAATGATCAGATGAATTGCAATTAATTGCAAAATCCCTCTTTGCCATGAAATGAACTTAATCCCAAAAAAAAAACATTTCCACTGCATATCAGCCCTCAGTCAGGACCAGCTGACATCATTCCATTGATTCTCTCATTAACACAGGTGAGAGTGTTGATGAGGACAAGGCTGGAGATCACTCTGTCATGCTGATTGAGTTAGAATAGCAGACTGGATGCTTTAAAAGGAGGGTGGTGCTTAAAATCATTGTTCTTCCTCTGTTAACCATGGTAACCTGCAAGGAAACACGTGCAGTCAACATTGCTTTGAACAAAAAGAGCTTCACAGGCAAGGATATTGCTACTAGTAAGATGGCACCTAAATCAACCATTTATCGGATCACCAATAACTTCAAGGAGAGAGGTTCAATTGTTGTAAAGAAGACTTTCCAGTGACATGACTGTCTCCTAAAGTTGATTCAGCGGTGGGATCGGGGCACCACCAGTGCAGAGCTTGCTCAGGAATGGCAGCAGGCAGGTGTGAGTGCATCTCCACACACAGCGAGGCAAAGATTTGGAGGATGGCCTGGTGTCAAGAAGGGCAGCAAAGAAGCCACTTCTCTCCAAGAAAAAATATCAGGTACAGACTGATATTTTGCAAAAGGTACAGGGATTGGACTGCTGAGGACTGGAGTAAAGTCATTTTCTCTGATGAATCCCCTTTCCGACTGTTTGGGGCATCCAGAAAAAGATTGTCCAGAGAAGAAAAGGTGAGCGCTACCATCAGTCCTGCATCATGCCAACAGTAAAGCATCCTGAGACCATTCATGTGTGGGGCTGCTTCTCAGCCAAGAGAGTGGGCTGACTCTCAATTTTGCCTCATAAAACAGCCATGAATAAAGAATGGTACCAAAACATCCTCAGAGAGCAACTTCACCCAACCATCCAAGAGTAGTTTGGTGATGAACAATGCCTTTCCCAGCATGATGGAGCACCGTGCCTTAAGGCAAAAGTGATAACTAAGCAGCTCGGGGAACAAAACATCAACATTTTTGGTCCATGACCAGGAAACTCCCCAGACCTTAATCCCATTGAGAACTTATGGTCAATCCTCAAGAGGTGGATGGACAACAAAAACCCACAAATTCTGACAAACTCCAAGCATTGATTATGCAAGAATGGGCTGCCATCTGTCAGGATTTGGCCCAGAATTTGATTGATAGGATGCCTGGGAAAATTGCAGAGGTCTTGAAAAAGAAGGGCCGACACTGCAAATACTGACTCTTTGTATAATTACTTAATGTAATTGTCAATAAAAGCCTTTGACACTTGTGAAATGCTTGTAATTATAATTTAGAATATCATACAAACATCTGACAAAAAGATCTACAAACACTGAAGCGGCAAACTTTGTGTCATTCTCAACTTTTGGCCACGAGTGTACACCGAAAAGACCATTATTATTTATTAATCTTGCGGAATTATTTACAGGACACGGTAACCCGAAGAGACATCCCGCAGTGGGACACTTGTGGGGAGATCCCCCGGGAGCCACTTTGCGGATACGCCGCAGAGAGGACACTAGATCGTGTTGTCATTCTCGCTAAACGTCTACCATCTCACTTTTCGCTTGATTAATATTGAATGAGGCCACGGTGGCTAGTCAAAGCTGCAATATGTATCCATTAAAAATAATTACGACAGAATGATATCCGTTCTCCCCCGAGGGCTGATGTTTTCATCATTATATCATTATAAAACAATCTGACGGATGAGTTTCACCCTTGTAACTGCTGGAGGCAGCAATACTTCTGACGCTCGTTTATTAATGGCACCCGATATTTGTAAGGATTTTTGGAAGCGGGTTTGGAGTCTACGGCACAGCTCGCACGTCTCCTTACAGGAAAAAAAAATGTTTTTCTTATGGACGATTTCTTGGAAATCCAGACATTGCATTTGGAGCAGCGAGGTGCAGACTCTAATGAAAATCCATAAACGTTTCGTAGGTTTGTATCTTCGGAAAAGGCAGAAGTTTTAACCACCCAGCACGTCGATTATAAAAGCATGTAAAAATAAGAAAACTTTCCGCAACCACTAGGTTTTGCCTCCTTTCCTCAAATGGGCGTGTTGGGATGGATGAAACGCTCATCCCAAACCCCGGAGGCGGCGTTACGCCTTTCCCGGCTGTATCTGCGACGCACCCGGCACTTCGCCAGGGAGAAAATGCCGACACTTGATCTCTCATCGCCTTTTATTTTTCCTCCAGTCTACGAAGCGATCGGCACTCCAAGCTCAGCTTCTCTCCTCCTCCAGACATCACATCCGGGTCAGTTGCCTGGGAGTGTGTGTGTGGAGCAGCTCCTCCAGCACGGTCAGAGTAACGCAGCCCCAGCCAGCTGCCGCGGGAGCTCGCCGACATGGATGCGGCCGCGGGCGCGCAGCGCTCCTGAAACCAGCAACTACTTCACTAAGTAGCGGGGACGGAGACGGGACTGGCAACTTGATGCCCGGACGCCCGGGTATTTTGTTCTCAACCATGTCAAAAAGCCTGAAAAAGCAAAACCACTGGACCAACAAAGTCCATGAGATCGTCCTCGGCAAGAGTAATGAAGGGGAGCTGGGGTTCGAACTGAAAGGCGGCGCCGAGAACGGGCAGTTTCCCCACATCGGGGAGCTCAGGAACGCCAAAGTGGCCGTCCAGAGTGGCAAGTTGTCCCAGGACGAGCTGCTTCTGGAGGTCAATGACACGCCGGTGGCCGGACTGACCACTCGGGATGTGCTGGCTGTTGTCAGGCACTGCAAAGACCCCATCAGGCTCAAGTGCGTCAAACAAGGTGAGGCAGAGACACGGCGTGATCCCGGGCGTCCGCGGGCAGCCAGGAAAAACCTGCTCTGCGCTTTAGGTGCGGGTTTGCTTTCCCTGACCCGTCGGGACATGTACGATTGCCGTTTTTCAAGTAGGTGGCCAACTCTCCTATAAGGAGTCGCTGAAGTTTTGCAGATCCCCAAAGCCGGAGGAGAGGCCACGCAAACTTCACTTTGTCCTGTTTCAATAGTTTTATTTGGTTTCTTTCGAGGGGCGGACGCGTTACAAAATAATCGTGGTGCGATCGCTCGCCGTAACATCGCAGGAGAAACTCGCCCGCGAAGTTTCTCATTGTCGCCAAGTAGCGGATCTGATGCCATGATTAAAAGGGGGTGTGTTCGCCCTGGGAAGGAGTAACCGGAGCCGGGCGGCGATCTGAGGCTTCCCCCGTATCATGCATGTATCTTTGTTAATGTATATACGCCTCCCCTTTCCCCCTAACCCTGCAGGGACTCGAGATTTATGCCATTTGTTGCTTTTAAAGAGGTTTAGCTGATCGTCCGAGGAATGAGTTTGTGTCCCCTATCGCACGTTAGAGGGCTGATGGGTGTGGCGTTTTCTTATAAGTTTCCGTTTATATGAACTACGAAAGTAAAACGAATCGCCATAAAATACAGTTTAGTTTAAGTAGCCTAGTTACGAGACGGGGGGGCAGGCCGATGCGGACTCGCGACGTGACTCTGTACTTCCCAAAGTTACGCTGCTGAAATGTGTCCGGAGGCTCCCCCATGAGCAAACGGCTGCCTATGGCCAAGTGGCGTGGCAGTAATGAATGATATATCATTTTTGGCTTCAGGGAAAAAAACATTCGCAGCGACGCTGGAAAGTGTCAGGTGTAAAGACCGGTGTTCTGACAAAACATCCTACCTATCGAGACGTGCTATTGAGCCTTTCTGCGCATGTGCAGTTCCACCGTCTTGGGATTAGGGTTAGGTTTTATGGGTTAGGGTTAGGGTTAAGGTAAGAGTTTTAGGGGTTTTTGGGGGGTTAGGGTAAGAGTTAGGGTTAGGGCTATCGATTAACACTACGGTAGGATGTTTTGATAAAGTAGGACGTTTTGTCAACACCGGCATCCCCGGTGTCACTGTGTACTTTTCAGGAATAATATGCAATAAACAACCAGGGAAACACATAATCAATTTATTTCATGACGAGTTTTTATTATTATTATTATTATTATTATTATTATTATTATTATTATTATTATCATTGCCTGCTAATTAGCGTTATTATTGGGTTATGGCTAAGTACTTAAGATCTGCATAAGATTAGTGTGTGTGCTTCAATAAAACATCCGCAAAATCTATTATATATGTCACATTTTATATATAACATACTAAGGTACAGATTATCTGTAATGTCAGGGTTGTGAGAGATCTTACAATCTACAGACTTCTACGTCGTCTTTATCTCTGGATGAGAAGCGTGTCTGACACGGGCTCTGGATTAAAGGTACGATTTCTGCACTAAGTGGCTCGAAAGCGGCTCTTCATTAGAAGATTTGCCCGTATTACGGATATATAGCCGCGGTTCCGGCCAGGCGCGTTCAAAGCGCGACACCTACGCTGCTGATGCGGGTTCGGCTCCCGCACGGCGCTTCTTCTAGGCATCGCACCGGCTCCTTCCTCACGGATCTGGGGAGCCTTCACGAAGCTTTCATTTTCGCTCTGTGGCGTTGGGATTTATATTTAGATTTCACACTATAAACGCTCTTCAGTTGGAACACCATAGGCTAAGCGGTACCCCCCCCCCCCCCCCCAGCACACGCAGGCGCGCTCACCTATTCAAGTTGATTTTTTTTGTCATGGTACAATACTCGCTATTTTTAGTACTAGTAAAGATGTCGGATTCAGGGACTGTGTCGAAGCCCCGCTCGGGGTTTTAACCATGTTCCTTGAAGGAGGCAGCCTGGTGTGCAGGTGCACATAGGGGATGCGACCCCATTACCCACTCTGAGATCCGATACAGTCAGCTGGAGCATTTCTAAAACTGTTTTTTTCTTTTTGTACTGTGGAGAACTTTAAACCTCATTACCTGTTATTGTTGAATAGGGAGGTTATTTTTACACACAGCACACCACATCTCCTCCAGCACAAAACTTTTGTGGGGGGGGGGGTTGTTTAACTTTAACCATGTCAGTTTCATTATAATCTGATGAGACAGATTTGTTATGGTTAACCACCCCCCTCCACTGGTGATGGACATGCCCATAAAAGGCGGAACAGACCCATAGAAACATTGTTCAGGGTTTTTGCATACTGGAGGCCTTGGGGATTTTGGTGATTTCTCTATGGGGGTTTGTCCATCTGAGCAGCCAAGCAAGTTTGATTAATCGTGTCATTAGTGTCTTAGGGGAAAAAAGGGCAAATACTCATATTTGGGGCTAAAGTGTGTCCACACAGGGCCTGATAAAAATTGTGAAATTCTAAAAATGTCATTGTGACTTGGGGGAAGCCGCAGAGTTTTGTGTGATGTTATTTGAGTAATGTGATCCGCAATTTACATCGATGGTCTTTTTTTTGAATGTGATGGCAGTTCCCTTAAGGAGTAGTACTCTTTATTTCCCCTCCATGGTGGTGTGGATAAAACAAGGCTTTGGGAAGGCCGGGTGTTTGTGATCGATCTCTCTGCTTGATCAGTCCTGCTCCTGTGACCTACACTCGTCTTCAGCATTGCCCACGAGGGTCCAACAGCATTGTCCCACCGAGGGACTGCGAGAAATGTGGGAATCGAATTCCCATCTGGCGGCATCGTAGACGCCCGATCCAGCGAGGCCCCACAGTTTCATTCCTCACGAATATCACCCAGGGACCTCCACAGATAAAGCAACACCTACGCGTGGATCATGGCTCTAAGAAAAACTCCTCCGTGCTTGCCTCTGAAATAGCCTTCGATCACCTCACGGCTAAAGCCTTTAAATCGCAGGGCGTTCAATCCGTACACGAGACTGCCCCATGTATTATGTTTGGGGGTTATTTTTGCCGTGATAGTGGCTAATGTGGCGAAAGGTCACGTCCCCTGCAACTGTGGTTGATTTCCCATGTGTTAGCGTGTTTTCCTTGCGTGGGATGCTCTGCTGAGACTTATTTGACTGGCTGATGGAGTGAAAATGAAAGAATCGTCTTTGGTGCTGGGTCAGCAGATCATACACCCAGCCCCCGTTCCTCTCTTAGTAGTGGGCCGGTCCCGGCACCTCCTAGAGTTGAACTCGAACTCCACATGGTTACGGAATCTGCTGTCTTTCCAGTTGTGTGATGTAATGACCATGAGCTCCCGGTTTGGAGTCCCACTGCAGTAACAATACCCTGTGATGCAGTGAGGCTATGGCCTGCTAAGAGCCTGGGGACGGAGTAGAAACTGTCCGCTCTTGGGTCTCTGGTCAATGTTAATGACATAGGAAACATTTGCACTGTTTCTTCTGTTTGCCTGGGGTTATGTGTCCCCTGTATTCGTGCTGCGATGCTATCTAAAGGTCTTTCTGGTGTGATGTAACTCATGTTCTGTCTGCATGTGTGGGCTTTTCTGTCTATAACGGCGAATTAGAGTCCGACTGCTCATCACGGGACTCTGGGTTTTTACGTGCGATATCTGATCTGTTTCGTTTTCAGACAGCGGGCATCGTGTTTGTTTACTCACGTCACGTGAGCTACACTGGCAGTGATGGAGCTGGCTCTGTGAGTGTTGAGAAGTCTGTTTCGTTTAACAGCAGTGCAGTGTACTTGCTTCTCTGTTCTGCCCCGCAAGTCAAGCCTGCAGTGGTTCCTCTGTTATCTCCTGCAGCTGCTCACTTCAGACACACAGCCTGTACCTCAACTGGCTCAGCAGTGAAGCTGAGGCATGACCAGAAATTGCGGTGGAAGAAATGTGCTACAGTTATTTCATCCTTGTCATGATCTAATTTGAAGGCTGCTCAACACACAACTAGGAATCGTCCCCTATGAGGATTCACCCAAGAATGCCTGAGCGCTAGTGCAGCATTTGTATGTGGATCCAGCCAAGAACGTTTAAACCCCAGGTCAGCATTTAAATGGGGATCTCTGAGCACCTGATTAGCATCCATATGAAGAACCACCCAAGAACATCTGACCATGGCGTCAGCTTCTATATGAGGATCCACCACGATGTCTGAGCACCAGGTTAGCATCCTTAGGAGGATCCACCCAGGAACATCTGAGCACCAGCTCGGCATACGTACATGCTCCTATGCCTGGTTTCGAACAGCATTTTCACATTTTAGAAAACAGAAGAGGGTGAGAACTCCCCCCTCCTGCTCCATCGCACAGTCTTTTCAGTTTCCCAAGTTGTTTTTTTTTTCTTTAACACATTGGGATGCTAACCCACGTAGCGCAAAGCGTAAGATCATTTCTAGCTCTGGTGTAGTCGATCTAGTGCTATTGCTTTTTTCCATCCCTGAGCAGATTTCATGGGTTCCAGTGGTTTTTATTGTTTTTGCTGTGTCTCTGTCTTTATACTTCACAATTTTGTACTTATATTCAATTGAGTATAGATCTGTTCGGCTGTAATCCAAGTACCTCAGAATGTGTCAGAATTTACAACAGGAAATCCGGTTCTGAGAAAGATGATCTGCTCCCTGGATAAGTATCTGTGGACGTCTGATCTGGATGTTTCACTCAGACCATCTGGTAAAGCCCATGGGTCCCGCTTGCCCAACATCAACCGTAATGTTGCTCAAAAATTTCTACTGGGGACTTAAACTGACTAATAATTCAGTCCATTATCATGGGCAGACCTTGCAATAGAGGCAGCAGGTGGTGCTGTTGGGTCAACACAGCCATGGCATGGCCAGCCTCTCAATGGGATGAGCAAAGGTTTAGGTGGAAGACCAGCTATCACCTTGCATCAGCACCGCTGCCTATCATACCATGACATAAATATCAACCGGTACAGCTTGGCTGCTATCTTGCAACCTGTTGATAAAGCAGATGTAAGTCCTGCTGAAGGTTTTTG